GTCTTTATGCAATTAAACTTGGTCTGATATACACACAAAACCTCCCAGAAAGTAATTGTAACGTTTTTAGATAAAGCTCAAACAGGATTTACTTGACTGCCAAAGAGGTTGCATAAAAGGAATGTAATTTATCAACATTATTACTCTGGAACATTTTGCTCGAAGCTTATTTCCGTGAAGGCGGAGGCAGTTTTAGAGCGATGATGAACACGCTTTTAGCTTCAGTTGGAAATAGTTGAAGCTGGTCTAAGGATTGAGTGTTCTCTTTGCTTGATGTATGGCGCTCGTTAAGGTGTTTGTGGACACTTTCAACCTTGAGCACTGATAAGGCAGGCTTCTGTATATTTTGTGGTGGTGGGGGAGAAAGAGAAGACTTGGTAGAGGAGGTAAGGAGAAAATAAAGGGGAGAATAGATAGGAAAAGGAGTATAGAAGGAATTGAGAGGGTAAGAGAGGAGGAGAAGGGGAGAGGAATAGAGAGGAACATAATTGACGAGGATAAGGAAAGGAGAAGTGTGGAAAGGGAGGAGAAAGAGTACGTAAAAAAGTCAAGAAAGATTTATAAGATAGAAAACGTGGAAAACAGAAAAATGGGCGGAAGGGGAAGGGATATTAAACAAAAGGGGGATAAGGAGAAATGGGGGAGAACGAGAGGAGAAGGCCTAAGCAAGAGAATTTAAGGGGGGAATGTGAGAGAGGTCGAATAGGAGATGTTGGTCGATGAAGAGGGGGAGAGAATGTTAAGAGGGAAACAGCAGTAAAGAGTGATGATGTCGAAGAAATATAGAGAAGGCGATAGGCAAGAAAGAGAGTGAATGAGGCCAGGTAGAGAAGCTAAGAAAAGGGGGGGATAAACAATGAGAAGAGAAGGAGGTGAGATGCAGAAATAATGGGATATAATGGGAGAATGGAAGATGGTAGAGAGAGAGAGAGAAGAGAAAGGTGGATTAAGACAGGATTTTAATACAAGGAAATGACAGAAATAAGAGATAATAATCATACGGAAGAGAAACAGCAAGAAGAGAAGGAAGTATAGATATCTTAGAAGAGAGAAATAAAATAAATTGATAAATAAGGAACTGGAGGTGATGGTGTAAAGTGTAAAATCGATGATAATCCAGATATGCGATTGGGAAAGAGGAGTGTGTGATAGAACTCAGAGTAAGATAGTGTGGTTAAGATGGTAGATGGTAGGGGGGGGTGGGGAGGGAGAGTGAGACATGTTGTTGGGAAATGTGAAGCAAAGTTGACGGGTGTAAGAGTCGGTAGTTTGTTGAATATCATCATGACCTCAGAATCATCTACTACTTCATCAAAACATTGAGTGATCGCCAATACAAAAAAATTAGGTTTTGTTTATGACCCAAAATACGTAATGTAAAAGTAGCCAAAGATATATCGAGGGTTACAACATATAACAAAATATAGAAACTTCAAGCCTATATTCTGTATATATAACACTGCTAACCTCTGTAATTTACTATCTTATTCGTTAATATATTAAGTGATTTTTTTATAAAGATCTTACAAATTACGAGTTCAATTCACAGAAAATCTTTGAGAATTACAAGACAGATGTATTACGTAAACATGGTGTGACCCATGAGTGGTGTGAGCGGAAACCGTGGCAGTGAGTTGAGTGAGTAAGAGGGATGTGGTGCTCGCTGCTATACCACTCCCTTTCCTGCCTCCTCTTCAATCTTATCACAGGCGTCTTGACTTCTTTATTAACTTTCTACAGTAATATTAGATTTAGGTGTTTTTATGCTTTATCTTTATTTTTGCGGTTGTTGAGTTGAAGATCAGTATTCGTTAATTAGTATATCACACGTGAAGATTTATATTCGAGTGAGTGGACCGCTGGGCTTCATTACAGCATTACATTGAGATTGTTTTGTATTGGAAAGTAGCCTATGTTTTATGTGGAAAAATAACCTGTCTTGTGGGAGATAGATTTATTTTACGGGGAACTGGACGGACTTTTCCACTGGCTCTGTGCTGACATGCACTTCACACATCAGAAGGTGGCTGTGTGTGTGTGTGTGTGTGTGTGTGTGGGTGTGGGTGTGTGGGTGTGTGTGTGTGTGTGTGTGTGTGAGAAGGTGACTGAAGGGAAACAAAGACTCCTGAAACCCCTTCGGTGGACTCCTTTCATGTCTTCCTCTGAACCAAATTTCAATTTACGAAATAACTGAGTGGCTGAAAAACAAACAAAGGTGAACTAATGGGTTTTTGTTTACGTCGCCGACGTCTATGATGAAGTTTACACGTTGGCAGAGAAAATGAAAATGGTCGCCAAAGCATTAATTATGTGCACCCAACTGGAGACAAACTGAATTGTGTTCATTTTTACCAATATCCTAATGCTACCCTAATAATTAGCTGGCTATTATACTACATCTTATGAGGGAGGGGGTGAGGGAGGAGGGGGTCCGTGATTCTTGTCACCATCCGCTCACCCTTCGGTTGTCACCAGTCTTCACTTGCCAGAATCACCAACCCAACACACTAACCCAGCACACCACACCAACCCAGCAAATCTCTTCTATCTCTCACATATATCCCACCCTGACGGTTAGGCCAGGGTCAGCAAGTCTCTCCTTCTCTCATAATTGTGTAACAGTGTAACTCGAGCGATTAGTCGGTGTAAGCCTAGACCTGAGCCCCATTTCGAACATTAATTGTCAACATTGGTACGATGAATTAACCTTCAAATACATTTATAATGCACCCTATAACTGACTTCACGTAAACAGTTAAGACACCAATGTATATGATTGTCCTCACAAGATTTATTCCCCGTTTGTTTATCATAAATAATATTAAAGTGTGAATGACAATAATAAGTCGGTCAACAGCAGTTTCACCTGTAACAAGCATTTCCTGTTTTGTTTTAACCTTCGTCCTTCATCAACTGTTAGATACATCGTAGTTGTGGGAGTACCAGATGTAGCGCCATGGAGTGTGTATAGTGTGCAGTGATGTGGTGCCATGGTGTGTGTATAGTGTGCAGTGATGTAGCACTATGGTGTGTAAAGTGTGCAGACAAATGTAATGAGTCAATTTATATAATTCCGGTCCCAGGCTACTGTGTGCACCTCACGTCTCACCCAGTAATTTGGGGGCTTTGGTTTCACTTGTCGATAAACTAGAAATTTACACCTCACGAAGAAGGTGGATTGACAACGTTGAGTGTACTAGTTGGAAATGTCCCCAACTGTACATCTTACTCCCCAACAAGGGCTCATATCCTCCCCTTACCTAATCTAACACAAGCGCCACTTCCCGTCTCCCTTCGACCTCTTCTCATGAGCAATTTCAATGTTATGTCTCTGAGGCCCCATCCTTACCAGACAAGTTTGATATTTACATGCTCTTGTATATTCATCGTCTCGTCCAGTTATATGAATGCTCTTCTCTTCTCATCCTGGGGTCATCAGTGCCCTCCCAAGATTTTTCACTGTCCACCCACAATTTTTTTAATATTTGAATATCCTCTGACTGTATGTTCAGTTTTCCCAAGTAATTTTAATGCATGCATCTTCCTCCAGCGATTTAGCTGTGTGAATCTTGCCTTCAGTGTTTTTCACCATCTCTCAGTAGTGTCAATGTTTATATCATCCACATACATGTTCAATAGAGTAAATAAAACTAGGAAATAAACTCCCCTTTTATTCACAAGTTTTCCTTCCACTTTCCCAACGATTTTTTTTTCAAATAGCAGTTGTTCCTTTGCTTTAATGGACAGTCACCCTTACTTCCCCTCACCTGCTTCCCATCACCTATTTTCCATCACTTGTTTCTCATCATTTTGTTCCCATCACCTGCTTCCCATCGCCTGCTTCCCATCGCCTGTTTCCCATCACCTGCTTCCCATCACTTGCTTCCCATCACCTGCTTCCCATCACCTGCTTCCATCACCTGCTTCCCATCACCTGCTTCCCATCATCTGCTTCCCATCATCTGCTTCCCATCGCCTGTTTCCCATCAATTAATCCCCGGACCTGATGCTCATTCTGCAGGAGCAGCCTACTGACACAGATACAGTACAGGGTATTAAAATCGCGCATATTCTTCTTGATGGTTCAGGTGAGGTGCAGGTTGAGGTACAGGTACAGCAGAAAGTATATTTCATGTAGCGCCTAATGGTTTGTCTTCTCACCCATCAAAGGTAGCTCGAGCGTTCCCCGAGGGTAAACGTAATTTGTAAAGAAAACAAAAATAAAATAGCCTTAAAGTTGCAATGTGCATACCTCGCACAGAAGGTTTTCGCCTCTGCTTTCAGGTTCGAGGAAGTATGATACTCCCGTGAAATTAGTCGGAATATTTATAGGTGAATATGACCAAAAAAGCAACTCGTTTTAAGGGTGTTAGAACAGAGTCAAAGATAAGACACGGGCAGATGTTTACTAACAAGTTGCTACACCGTAATTAAAACTTAGAGACTTACACCGGGTACACCATGTTTCATCTTCCTCCTAGTCAAGACACGGACACTGGACACGGTCATCATGATACATACAGACATTTGACATTGAACAATAACTGGCGCGTCCTCTGGATACTCGTGTATTGGCGCTGACTGCTTGATTAACAAGATGATTATGGAGCATTCGAGAAAATGAGTTAATAGTATGAGTAACACCAATCACAATAATTTGGGCTATTTATGTATAGGTGAACAAACATATTTGTGAGTGATCAAGCCCAAGCACACACAGGAGTCAGTTCCTTAGAACACCTTCCATCTGCAGTACTCGCACGTGTGTGTGTGTGTGTGTGTGTGTGTATGTGTTGTCAAGACCATGGTTAGAATTACCATAGTGTGAATACCTATGACAACTCTTTTTTTTCACAAACTTTAATGCAAAACTTCTTAAATTTATTTTGAATCAGAGAATTTTAGTCTCGTTTCCCCTTATAACAAAAAAAAAGTATCGGCTACAAATAATACTCGTAATCACAACACACATCAAACACGTCACACCTAACGTAACCTACCAGTGGGATCGAGTCCTGAGAACACAGCTATAGGGAGGGTAGTGAAGAGCGCCAGACCCCACACCAGGGCGATGATAACTTTGGCTTCCAGACGGGTCATCCGGGGCCGCAATGGGTAGATGATAGCCAGGTAGCGATCCACACTGATGGCTACCAAGGTGTATGCCGATACAAAGATGGACACTGCCTGTAGGAGAGATAGATAAACTGTGGGTTGATATTTTTAATAATAATAATAATAATAATAATAATAATAATAATAATAATAATAATAATAATAATAATAATAATAATAATAATTGCTGTTATTAATATTAGTTTCAGTTTTTTCATCAATAGTAGTGGTAGAGATATTTGGCTTATGGAACGATAACATACAATTATTACATATATTATAATTTAGACCTTTATAAGTGTTTTTGTTGATTAAATAAATTTGTATTCTTGTAGACCCAGGCAAGTATACCTGCATATGATATGATGTACACTTGCTATTGACCTGGAATGCACGCACGCACACACACACACACACACACACACACACACACACGGGGTAAAATTGCCTCTTCAAGATTGTCTCGAGTAAATTCTTGATTAAAGTGATAAGAAACAAAAAAATTGCATTCTATTGGTTCAATTATCGCCGCTCCTGGTGTGAATTCTTCGCTGTATTCAGACGTCTTGTCGATTTGTTTTTTTCTGAATACACAACACCTGGAGACAGCGTCACGCGTTTATTAATCGGTAAACTGTCATGACACCTCACACATAGTTAGCATCAGCGTGATTAAATACAAATTTCATTGGCTGTTATTAAAAAAAAAGGCAAAATCTGGTAAATGCATAAGATATAATATTGTTTTTAAATGTCAAAGTGTGGAGAGCAAGAATTTTATTATGCAAATAAAAATTCAACAGTAGTGGAATAAAAATTAAGACCATGCCGTTATGATTTATTTTCAATAGTCTTTAAACTGTATTAAACATTCGGGACGCGGCGAAAAGAAAGCATCAAAATGAATCTATCATTTCGTTACGTAACTTGATACTAGCAACTTTCTTAATTGGATATTTCATTACTGGGTTCTTGCCAATTAGAGCTCGGATGACCCGTCCCACAACCGAGCTTACTCTCCTCCTTTATCCTTCCTGCGTAACTCTCTTAATGAGATTAATACATTGGCTTAATTAGTGGGATTCCTCGACTAATAAACCCTCGACCACAAAGGTTATACATGGTGGATTAATCTAAGTATCTTATATTCCTAAAGATCTAACGAATTCTTATATATTATGAGGACGGGCCCCCTACTAATGTGTTAAAAGTACTTAATTATTATAGTCTCATTGTAATTTAAATTTTATTGTGGATCTCATTTATATTCTTTAACTCAACCAGACAGGTAAACTCTTTGAATCTAATTTACGAACGGGAAAACGGGTAATTGTAACGGTGTGGTATCCGCGGTATCCGTTCTCTGCTCTTCACCGTGACTCGCTAGAATGCATATGAAGTACATTCCTCTGTCATTGTATACCATAATAAAAGCCATCTGTATATCTATGGCTGAGTTGAATCTATGTTACGTAAGTTGAGGTTAAGTTTAAGTTTAGGTTCGTAATACGAGAGTTTGGGTTTATTGAATAATCTGTAGAAGGAACATTACGTGACGTCATATATTAAACAAGGACCAATCAGGGGTAACATTACGTGACGTCATATATTAAACAAGGACCAATCAGGGGTAACATTACGTGACGTCATATATTAAACAAGGACCAATCAAGGGTAACATTACTTGACGTCACAATGAACAAGGACCAATCAAGGGTAACATTACTTGACGTCACAATGAACAAGGACCAATCAGGGGTAACGTTACATGACGACATAGTGAACAAGGACCAATCAGAGATACGTATTGTTCATTCTCGTCGTGCTAGTTCACCTTAAAGACCCCACAGGACCGCCTCTCCCCTCCACAACCAATAAAGGAAATGTCTCGCATTCTTAGTCATTATATTTCTTCTACAGTAAAGTGAGAAACAGTGAGGTTAACAATTAATACGTGGTGATATTAAATTAAATTTTATTATTTTATTCAATCATCAAATGGAGAGAGAGAGAGAGAGAGAGAGAGAGAGAGAGATTTTTTGATTACCTCTCGAAGTGACAAAAATTATAATCCAGTCATATACGACTATTCTGTTAACCAAGACATTTAATAGCGAATAACATAAGAGAGAATCCTAGCCACTCGCATATACAATTTCACCGGATTTAAGTGATTTAAAACTCGGGGGTTGGCTGGGCGTGCATCATTACCCACTGGAATGACCTGTGTGTTATACTATGTTATTTGTTTTTAAGTTCTTCTCTTCTATTTTTAGTATAAGTATTTTTTGTTGTAATTTTTTATATCGTATTTTTTATGGTTAAGTTATTTTTTTTCTTTGGCAATGTGTCCTGTGTGTTGTTGGATTTTCTTCCTGTAGGCCTATTGAAATTCTTTTGATAGTTGTATAGCCTATATAATTTATTCGTCGCTATAAAAGAAATTTCTATTGTTATATATAATTCTTGTAAATGATTGTAAATTATGATATTTAATTAGAATTTTAGTAAGAGTTTGATGTCTTTGTGATCTGTATAAATATAAGTGAACAATATACCTAACTTACACCAAACTTATATCGTCATTTTTTATTCTGATTTTTAGATACAAATTATATATAAAAAAAAATGCGAAAGATACATTTTGATCGATACTTCAGCCACTACAGGTGAAGCTTAGCCGGGACCTACACAGAGGCTTCCAATGACGAAAAGAATAACAACGATAACAATGAGAACAACGAACTAAATCTGGTATTGTGTGTGTTGATATTAGGAGCTGGGAACGAAATACTTGGAGGTTATCAATTGAAGTTAGGTTAGGTTAGGTGTTTTGTTGTTTAGCCTTTACCTTACTGTACTCTTATTTCATCCTTTACTTTCCTTTCCTGTTCAGCTTCTCGTTACCTATTCCCTCCTCCTTTTGTCTTCTTTACTCCACCTATCTCCTTTTCTATTCCTTTTATTTCCCTCTTTCCATCTACTCTGCTTGCCATCTACCTCACTTCCTTCATTCAGTCCTCTTTCCTCCCTCTTCCCACCTCCTTTTCCCCTCCCCTCCTCTTCCCATTCCCTTCTCTTCCCGTCCGCTTCTCCCCGCGCTCAAACAATACATGGCTGCTCTTACCATGTAACGGTTAATTACTGAAATATTACCAACTTATTATTTCTAAAACTAATTTCAATCAATAACGGGAAAAAAAATTTACTTTCACGTCACATTATTAATATACTTGACTTGTTACCACCGCTAGATACAGTTTGTCCGTGATTATCGAGTTGAGTTGACGAAGCAAGTACGGAAGTCTCACTAAACCAATTATTGACTACAGCGTGCAGTCGAAATCCAATTCGTTTCCTCAAGGGATTCAATTTCAGAGCAATTCTCTGACACACACAGGAGCTAAGGCTCATTCTAGGACTCTAGGTTCTCCAGTAAACATCACAGCTGCTTTTTTAAGAATTCTATGAAACGATATGGAGAGATAATCACTTTAATCAGCACAAGCTTAGTTGGAAGTCTTGACCATCAACAAATACGTTATCAGTTACTGGAGGCAGTAATAATAATTATAAATAGTAATAGCATAATAAAACAATTGTCCTGTGCCTTCTGCTACCAAACTCACCCCACGGCGTTACACACACGCCACTTCACGCGTTTTCTCTATTCTTTTTAACCTCTTTGATGCCAACCTGTGGTAAGGATATGTTATATTTACTTTACCGTTTATATCATGCATATGCCTACTGTAGCCCGGTGCAGGAAGGTGAAGATACAGTCCAGGACAATATTTATTTTCACTGTAGGATTCTTACTACAGGTTACTAGGTCAAATACGTAACTAAGGACTGACATGAGATCCTTTGGCTGTATCTTTCTCAACTCAAATACCAAAACGTGTAGAATTACAATGCGTAATGCTACAACATCAACCACTTTGGGTACGTTCCGTGTTTTACATGTGTGGTTTTCATCGCTTAATGTTTTAGTTTAAGTCAACCACTGAATGTATTCTTAAATCTTCGCCACAATATTCGTCCGAGCCTTTGAGAGTTACATCACAGATTGCATGTAAATTATATATTTCAGTATTTAATGGTACACTTTGAAGTTGTGCTCATCTACCCAGCTTAAAGTTGAGCCTTTTGATGCTGGTCATACACCCGGGGTACGGTTAGTATGTTTTTTTTCTTAATTTTTGGGATTAATTACACTTTCGTGTTTAACTTTGTTGAAGCATTATGGAAGCCGTCTGTGATATTTACTGGAAATGATGTGGCCTGAGCCTGCTTTTTCGTTTATTTATTTTTGTCGTTGTGATAATTTGTCAATGCATTTTTTTATTTATTTTTTTTTTACGGGAATTAGCCCACCAGGGCACAGGTCGAACGACCCATAACGGGGCCTAGGGGGCGAAAATATAAGAATACAAAGAAATCAAAAACAGAAAAGAAAAAGGTTATATTAATCTACACCACGAAGATGCCGGAAAACCAGCTTTTTCAGGTGAGACAGACTGTACGAGTATAGAAATACAGAAGGGGGCAGAGCATTCCATAGTTTGGCTGTGTGAGGAAAGAAGGATGTACATATTCAGATAATATCAAACAAAATAGTACAAAAATAAGCTATATTGCATTCAGGAAATACTCCTATACCTCAATACATAATATGTCCGCATGTCGTCTCATTTGGGGAAGTTTTTTCAAGGCCGTGGGATATCCCCGCTTGTCGCATTTAATTAATATAATATTATGGGCGGGTTTACCCGCATGTCGCATCCAAAGTGTTATGTATTTTTATGTTCTACTAAAAAAAGACAATTTGATCCTTTGAAAAGAGTTAGTCTTAACCACACATCACGTAATAACTGTCTTAAGAGGAGAGTAAACGATTGTAAGTGCCACGCGGACGATATTTTCCAGGAATTTATCAGTTTTCTCAACTCGACTCACTGGGGATAAAAATATTTTCTCTGAGTCTTATTTCTATTTTTCCTCTTGCCTTTTGTTCTTGTTATCCAGTGAAGGAATTCCCCCAAGCGCCACGGATATGGTTTTAGTATATT